CTACTTACATTATTTGACAGTTATTACCAACTTTAAGGAAAATACTTGTGCAATATGTTCCTACAGATAACAGAAATGTACCATAGTATTGTCTTTTTTGTTTTTTTTTTTGGTTTCTCTGTTACATAATTAGACCAGCTGGGAAGTTTAACTATAGAGAGAGGCATGTGTGTGTTTATTTAAATTAGAAAACATAACAATTACAGAAGAATGCAGAGAATACAAGAAACATCCAGCTTGCCACTACCCAGAACTAACAAATATTAACCCTCTGTCTCGTTTGCTTTTTATCTTTTTCTTTTAAAAGAAATCAAACATAGATATGGTTGAAGTTCCCTTTCTACCTTTCCTTAGTCCCTTTTCCTTCCTTCCTTCATGTTAGGCAACCACTATGATGGAATTTACATGTCTACTTTCTGTACATAATTTATATTGAAAAGTGTACATATTCGTGCTATATACAGTATTTTAAAATATTTCTGAGACTTGGGTTTTTAATTAAAAATTTTAGAAGTCAGAGAGTACACATAAGAAATTTGGAAAGTCTTTTTGGATATGACTTTATTTAAAATATAGGCAGGTCTGAATTTTGATATCAGGCATTTTCCATTGAAAACAAAGTATCATTTTTTTGTGGGTAGGTACCCAAAACCAGTTATCCAAAGTTGCCTCTTATTTATATATGGTGACCCACGATGCAGTTGAAGTAGGTGATGTTGTCCCTGCTGCTGCTAATACCCCTTCCATCATTTACTGTCAAACGTGGTGCTGAGTGCTTTACACTTACAGTATCTCACCTAAATCCTTAAAATAACCCTGTGAAGTAGGTATTAATCACATGTTACAGATGAGAAATTTGAAACACAGAAAAGTTAAAAAGTTGTTCAGGATAACCCAATTGATAAGTGATGGGTTGGGATTTAAATTAAGGTTTGACTCCAGAAGCTGGGCCCTTCATTATAATGGACTGCTTTTAATACTACTGTGGAAATTAATCATCTTGTCAGATTATATTTATGCGAAAAAATATATGTTCACATGTCCTATAGCAGACTGTAGGCATTGTCTTCTTGCTACAATCACCTCAGAACCTATTCCCTGTCCCGAAGCTCTGAGCTACTGGTCATAAATCTCAGATTGAAGCAAGGACTATATAGCAGAGTAGGAGAAGACATCTGGGCGTTGATTTTTTTTTTTTTTTTTTTTTTTGAGTAGACTATTTTTAAGACCAGTTTTAGGCTCACAGCAAAATTGAATAGAAAGTACAGAGAGTTCCCACATACCCCATACCCCACAAATGCACAGCATCCCCCACTGTCAACATCCCACACCAGAATGGGCATTGATTTTTATGATAGTCAAATAGAAGATGAGAATGCAAGCAGAAGACTAGGGAAAGCAGAAGGAAGACCACGTGCAGCATTTAATTCTCCCTTCTCTCCCTTTACTGTTTTTAGTATTGATACCACAGACCTTATGCTGTCGTGAACCAGCCTTAGCGTGAGGTGAGAATTAGAAATTCAGTATGGATGGTGGTTGATTTCTGGAAACTCCAAACATAGGAGAAAGGAAAGGACTTCCAGTAGGGAAATTGTGAGCAGTAGCATTGTGTGAGAGGAAGGAGTCTTATGGTTTGTAGATTGTCTAGCTAGCCCTTTGGAAATATGAAGGAATGTTGTAAACCAGTTATGTTTCTGGAAGAATGTTCCATTTGGAATTTCTGGTTTCTGATGTGAGCGTCCTTTTTGTTTGTAAACCATTAACCCAATTTTGGGTTATTATGTATTGTATAGAATTAACTTCCAGTTTTTCTTTTCTTTTCTTTTTTTTTTAAAGTTCATATGAGAGATCCTAATAATCAACTTCACATAATTAAAAATTTGAAGATAGCAGTAAGCAACATTATCACCCAGCCACCTCAGCCTGGAGCCATTCGGAAGCTTTTGAATGATGTTGTTTCTGGCAGTCAGCCTGCAGAAGGATTAGTAGCTAATGTGATTACGGCAGGAGATTATGACCTTAACATCAGTGGTATGTAACAAGGTTTATTTTTTTTTTAATGAATTTTGTTTGTTTGTTTGTTTGAGAAAGTAATTCTTTGACTTGGAAGATCAAGCAACAAATATTTAAATGCTTACTGAATGCTAGAGCATGTGAATACAATGTTGAAAAACAGTCCCAGGAACTTTGGCTCTTTATTTTATTCCCGTACCTAAAGTAATATGTAGAACATAGATGTGACAAATACTTGTTGAATGAAAGAACTAGCAGCAGATAAAAAATGAGACATTTTTTTTGTGACATAAGTAATATAATTAATTAAAAAGCATTAAGTTTATTGTATTTTTATCTTGCTTGGCATTAAGTGGAGGAAATGTTTATAAAATATAAATAAATATATAATCTTTTATGAGTGCTTCTTAATCTGATTTGAATGGTAAATGTTTTCATAACAAGACTGGTAGGTGAAATTATATATTAATATGTAAAGTGAGTTAGCAGGCGGGTGTGGTGGCTCACGCCTGTAATCCCAGCACTTTGGGAGGCTGAAGGGAGGATTGCTTGAGGCCAGGAGTTTGAGACCAGCCTGGACAACATGGTGAAACTCTGTCTCTACAAAAAAAAAAAAGTTTAGCCGGGCATGGTGGTGCACGCCTGTAGTCCCAGCTATTCGGGAGGCTAAAGTGGGAGGGTCACTTGAGCCCAGCAGTTGGAGGTTGCATTCAGCTATTTTTGGGCCACTGCATTCCAGCCTGGGTGACAGAGGGAGACTCTGTCTCTTAAAAAAAAAAAAAAGTTAGTTAAAAGTGTTTAGTGTAACTCTTTTACAGTATTAAAAAGTCTTAACTAATTGAAGGACATGGGATAGGTTTTTTAGAGGGAAAAGATTAAAAATACATCATCTAGGCAGGCGTGGTGGCTCACGCCTGTAATCCTAGCACTCCGGGAGGCCAAGGCTGGAGGAGGATCTCTTGAGGTCTGGAGTTCAAGACCAGCCTGAGCAAGAGCAAGACCCCATCTCTACTAAAAAGAGAAAAAATTAGCTGGGCAACTAAGAAACAAAAAATTAGGTGGGCATGGTGGTGTATGCCTGTAGTTCTGGCTACTCCGGAGGCTGAGACAGGAGGATCGCTTGAGCCCAGGAGTTTGAGGTTGCTGTGAGCTAGGCTGATGCCACAGCGCTCTAGCCTGTGCAACAGAGCCAGACTCTGTCTCAAAAAAAAAAGGTACATCATCTAATTACTATGTTTTAGCAGCCTAATAAAATAATCTTTTTGGCCATATACTTTATGCTGTGCTACTTTAATACCTCCTAATTGTGTTTTTAAAGATTTTCCTAAACATATGCAGAGAACTTACGGGGCATGTTTTAGGTCACAAACTTAGTTGGTTTTTTAACTTGTATCGTTAGAAATATTTGCAGAATTATTTTGTTTAAGTGTTCTATAATTTTTCTTAATTCTTTGCTATTAATTTTAATTCCAACAAGATAGGTTAACTTGATAATTTTAAGTTTAGAATATTATGAGTACCTTTACCAATCAAAAGAATCTGAATTTTAGGATATAGTACATATTCGAGTAGTTCCTGGCATATGTTTTCAACATGAGGCAAAAATTTGGATATTTCTCTGAGAAAGTAATGGAATTTGAACTGTTTTCTTTTCATCAGTGTTGTATTGTGAAGGGCAAATGAATCAAATGACAGAGTGTCCAAGTTTTTAATACCACCATAGCCATTAATTAATCAGATAACTTGAATAAGTCACTTTGTGTTTCTGAGAATGTTTCTGTCTTGATAATAAACAAGTTTGATTAGATTCTTTCTAAGGCTTCTCTCAGACCTTTAATTCTGTCATTCTGTTTTATGGGATCTTAACATTTTTGTTATTCATGCAACAGATATTTATTAATCTGCTGTATGCTTTGTATTGAGATATAAAGATTAATAAGACATACTTTATAAGTTCACAGTCTGGTAGGGAGACAAACGTGTTAATCAGTAATTATATTACATTCCAATTATAATACATTATAATCATAGTACACTATAATAGAGATATGGCGTATCTGGTATGCCAAAGTGCCAGGGGGACCTAGAGAGGGGTTACCTATCATATTAAAAAAATATATATCTTTTTTTATAATGCAAGTATTTTGTTAACCTCCAAAGTCCATATGCCTTTTACTTTTAAAAAATTTAATTTATCGGCCGAGCGCGGTGGCTCACGCCTGTAATCCTAGCACTCTGGGAGGCCGAGGTGGGCAGATTGTTTGAGCTCAGGAGTTCGAGACCAGCCTGAGCAAGAGCGAGACCCCGTCTCTACTAAAAAAAAAAAAAATAGAAAGAAATTATCTGGACAACTAAAAATATATAGAAAAAATTAGCTGGGCATGGTGGCACATGCCTGTAGTCTCAGCTACTCGGGAGGCTGAGGCAGGAGGATCCCTTGAGCCCAGGAGTTTGAGGTTGCTGTGAGCTAGGCTGACGCCATGGCATTCACTCTAGCCAGGGCAACAGAGTGAGACTGTCTCAAAAAAAAAAAAAAAAAAAAAAAAAAATTAATGTATCAAAATGATATAATATATGCACATAGACATAATGCTGAAAAGACTTATAAGGGAAAAAAAACAGTGATCTGCTCCCTGCCCCCACCCTACCAATTCTTTTAGTGTTTTCCTCTGGTATTTGTTATGTTTTCTAAGTAATATTTTTATATGCCTCTCTATGGCTTAATAAGTTTTTCATTTTATTTATTGATGTCTCATTATGTTTGATAAGGATTTAGCTTATTTCCTTTTCCCCATCTCATAATTTTTGGTTAATATTCACTGTTATAATATTATGACTAAATATTGTTCACTTCTTCACTGCTGAGCCATTTTTGGGCTTTTCTTGTACGGTATTTGTTTTTATAGAAGTTAGTAATTGTCTTTTTAAAAACATTTTGCTCGGAGTTCCTTGCATCTCTTGCTAGTCTCTCAAACTTCAGTAGGATTTTCTACTTAACAGATTAATTTGTCAAATAACTCACTTATCAAGATTTCTTTCTAGAAGTCTTCTCTCTTTCTACTCCATGCATTCTCAGTGGGGATGATATCATCCCCCAGTGAGTTGAAAATTGGCCCTGGAAGGCAGAATATCTCAGATATAATATATAATGGTTTGGGCTCTCCAAAGGGTCATGGTACATAAATAGATACACAATATATCTGTGGTATTACTTAAAAAGCTTTGTTGGTGGTGGGAGAAAGCGATTAGGAAAAAAGTCTAAAAACACTCATTAGGGGAAAAATTATGAAGTAAAAGTTGAGAAACACTATTTTATTCCATGATGAACTGGTTATTCTACAGGGCCTGCTTCCCAGCTGTCATCCTGGGGATTTCCTTCCTTTCTGTTCTTGGTAGTCTTTCATTCACATCTTTTTTGTATTTCCTTGATTTGCTGAAGGACATCTCCAGTAGCTTCCTGAGAGAGGCTGCATGAAAAATAAAATTTTTGAGAAATTAATGTCTTAAAATGTTCTTATTTTATATACTTGATTGATAGTTTGGCTATATATGTTATTAGTTAGAAATCATTTCCCTCTGAATTGACCCTTTTTCTTCTAGCTTCAAGTATTGCTCTCAAAAAGCTGAAAGCTATTATGATACATATCACCTCATCCCTCTAACTTTTAGAAGCTCTTTATCCCTGCTACTTTGAAATTTCATGTTGGACATGTTATAACTCCATTTTCACTCACATTACTGAGTAGCTTCTTTTGACAGTCTGGCCATGTATACTCTTTAGTCCTGAGAAGTTAATTTTCTTCTTTCTTTTAATTTCTTCCCCATTATTTTCCCTATTCTTTCAGAAATTATTATTAGTTCAGTGTAGAACTTCCTGAGTTGATCCTCTAATATTCTTATCTTTTTTTCTAATATTGTCCATTTCTGTCTTTTTGTTTTACTTTCTGGGTATGACTGTCCTTGATTTCATCTTCTGACTCTTCTATTGAAATTTTAATGTTTGCTCTCTTTTTTTGTTTTTTCGAGACAGGGTCTTGCTCTGTTGCCCGGGCTAGAGTGCAGTGGTGTCATCATAGCTCACTGCAACCTCCAACTCCTGGGCTCAAGTGATCCTCCTGAGTAGCTGGGACTATAGGTGCATGCCATCATACCTGGCTGATTTTTCTATTTTTTGTAGAAACAGGGCCTCGCTTTGTTACTCAGGCTTTTCTTGAACTACCTCAAGTGATCCTCCCACCTTGGCCTCCCAAAGTGCTGGGATTACAGACGTGAGCCACTGTGCCTGGCCACCTTCTTCTTTTTTGTTTTTTCTTGAGACATTTTTTTGTTACCTGAATTTTCCTTTTTTTGCCATGCAGATCTTGTTTTATGTTGTAGTATCTTAACTCTGAGGATATTAATAAATTGTTGTTGGCTTCTTTTTGTTTTTAAGTTTTCTTCTATCCTGTGCCTTTTCTTCCATTATATTATTTTTATTTTGTTTGTTTTGGCCTTTTTTTCATGTTGGAAAACTTTCCTCAAATGTTTGGTGAGCCTATGGCATTATTTTCTATTTCAAATGGAGGCGTTAAAACACTGACTGGGCATAAGAAAAGCCTATCAGTGGACTTCTTTATTGTTTGGTAAGGCTATGGCTAGGCTTGAGGGTTGCAAAGTTTTTATTATTAATACTTACACTTTTTTTCTTAGCGGCCATATAATTTCTCCAGAGAAGGATTCTCACATGTACTATCTTTATCCTAGGGGGCCTTATTTAATTTATATTTTTAAACAGTCTATTAAAGTGGTTTGGTATATAGTCTGTAGGAACAATATAGTCATGATTTGGTTGTGAGAAATTATTTTATCTAATTATATTACTTGTATTCTCAAGTCCCTGTCAACATGTCCGCATAAGGGAGGATGCAGTGCTATTTGCTTTGAAAAGCAGGTGGAGGCATTACTATAGCTGGACTTTGTAGGCAGATTTTTAAAAGAATCCCAAGTGGTCAGGATAAACTACATACCAGAAGAAAACAATTTCTTCATCTTTTTCCCCTACTACAATAGGGCACCTCCTTTAAGGTTTATTTTTATGTTGGCTTTGAAGACTGGGAATGAGATATGAAGTACTGAATTCATTTTAGTAAAATTCTATTATAACAGTACAATACTGTTTGGAGACTATAAAGAAGTGATTTTATCCATTTTAATAAGGTATTAAGTCTCTAGATGTCCGGAAGTATGCTTCTCATTTTTACCATTAATGTGAGTCAGCATACTTTCATCTGTTCTGTTTAAGAAACAGATGTTAGATATCTACCTCATAAGCCTCTAGCTTCACAGTGCCATGTTTTCTTCATCAGATCAGTCAATTAAAGCTAATATTCCTTGGTACAGTAATTGGAAAGACACATTGATGGAGTTGAAAGAATCTTCATCATACACAGGTATTTCTTGTGGTGATATCAGTTTCCAGATTGTTCTCCCTCTACTCCTTGCCTATTATCTTTTTTCCCAGTCAGCTACTATTTTGCATTCATCCCAATTAACATGTCTGTCTAATTTTTCTAAAATGAGGCCGGTCTTTTGATGCTTTTTCAACTTTTGTTATCTGTTATCTCTTCTGTTTACTCTTGATTTACAACATTTGCTAAATCCAGGCATGGTCTTTGAATAGTATAGTTTGAGCTGCATCTTATTTTAGTAAGAAGGAAGAACATATTATCCTTCCTTACCAAGACAAGGTACATTCTGCTTGGAGAAACTTTTAGTAGCACGCTTTAGTAGCATTATTGCTGTTTCAGTTCCAAACAAAGAACATGTGGAGATGGAATGGGCTGTGAGCAAAATAGTGAGCTTATCCCAAAATAAGTATTAGGTTATTAAGTATGAAGTGTCCAATTTCCTTAAGTGCTAAGTTTGACAGTTGATATCTCTGACATTTCACTTTGATGCTTTTGTTTTTTGTTTATTGTGAAGGTACATACTCATTCTTTCAAATGCATGGTTTGGCTTGTGGTTATCTTTCAAAAATTTTTTTACAGCAATTTTTGTGAAGCCGTGGATAAGTCAAAAATTCATGTTATTTTAGAATATGAGTTCTGTTATGGAACAAATCTAGCACAGACAGCTCAAAATATCAACAAAGTGTTTGGGAAGGATGTAGCTAATGAACACGATACATTGATGGTTTGAGAAGTTCCATTCTTGTGATTTTAATCTTTAAAATGAGCCACGGGGGCGACCTGGGACCAAGGTGGATAATGATGAGCTGAAAGCTGTAGTGGAAGGGAATCCATCTCAACCTACGTGTAAATTAGCAGCAAGGTTTGATGTTGCTATTCCAATAATATTGGACCATTTGAAACAAATCAGCAAGGTAAAGAAGCTGGACAGATGGGCTCTGTGTGAATTAAACAAACATCAGAGGAGGAATCGTCTGGAAGCTTGCCTTTCTTTGCTGTCATGACATAAAGGTGAACCATTTCTACACCATATTGTTACATGTGATGAAAAGTGGATTCTTTTTGACAGTCGTAAGCATTTGGCACAATGGTTGGATAAAGATGAAGTGCCGAAACACAGTCCAAAACCAAATATTCATCAGCAAACGTTAATGATGTCTGTTTGGAGGTCTAGCACTGGTATTATCTACTACAGCTTCATGAAACCTGGTCAGTCAGTTACAGGGATGTCTACTGCAACTAATTGGACAAAATGATGCGAATGCTTGTGATTAAGCAGCCGAGATTCGCCAGTAGAGACAGGCCAATCTTCTTGCAAGACAACGCTAGACCACATGTTACACACACAACACTGCTCAAACTACAGAGCCTGGACTTGGAAACTCTCTATCATCCACCGTATTCACCAGACTTTGGACCAACACTTCTTTCAGGCTTTGGACCACTTCTTGCAAGGAAAATATTCAGCTTCCAACAAGCTGTGGAAAATGCCTTTCTCGATTCCATTGCTGCTCGCTCTCCAGGCTTCTTCGCTGCTGGCATAAACAAGCTGTCATTAAGATGGCAAAACCGTCACTAGTTTAGGCGCATACTTTATTAATTGTGCTGCTTCTTGTTTGAGAGATAATAAACTGAACTTTTTTATAATGTCAAAATTGGACATTTCATATTTAATGCCCTAATACAAGAGAATTTTTAAGGAAAGAGTTTTAAAATCTTCTGTTACCATAAAAATTTTTAAAAGTACCATTTTCCCTCCACTTTCTGGAAAAAGTATTTGAAAAAGAAAAAAATAGTAGGGTGTCCTTGATTTATTGGCATTTAACAAAATTGAAGGAGGACTTCCAATTTAGCCTTTCAAGGAAATATATGGCTGAAGGGAAAACTTATCAACTTGAGTGTGACCTGTAAGAAGGATAAAACCCATTTTGCTGTATATATTTTTAAATTTTTCTTTTTTTCCTCATATCCGTAGCTGAGTATCCAGTGTCTTGCACCACCAGTATTTGGAAAGTTGTTATTTCAATTTAATAACTTACGGGCTGGGTAAAGTGGCTTATACCGATAATCCCAGCACTTTGGTAGGCTGTTTGCCTCAAGACAAATGTAAAACTGGAGCAGTTTGGACAACATAGCAAGACTCTGTCTCTACAGAAAATTTTTTACAAAAATTAGCTAGGTCTGGGTTGCACATGCCTATATCTAGCTACTTGGAAGGCTGACGTGGGAGGATAGTCTGAACCCAGGAGTTGGAGGTTACAGTGAGCTATGAGCATAACCCTGCGCTCCAGTGAGACCCTGTCTCAAAAAAGAAAAAAAAGAACTTGTATATGTCTCTATGTGTGTATATTTTGCTTTCTTTTTGATTTGATTTGATTTTTAATTTACATAGTTCCAAAGGCAGAACTATAAAGCAAGATTCAGGGAGATTTAGCCTGCATTTGTGTCCCCTCCTCATCTCCTCTCCTCTTTCTCTTCTTTCCCTTATAGATAATTAAATGTATTAGATTTATCCTTCTGTTACTTATCTTTGAAAATATAAGCAAATTTGTGTATGGCTGTTTATATTTTCTTTGTTACACAAAAGTTCATTTTTATGCTTTTTTCTACTTTTCTGCTGTTGCTTTTTTACACTTAACAATGTACCTGAGAGAGCACTTCATAGTAATATATAGAGATTTTCCCCTTTCTCTTGCAGTTGCATAGTATTTCCATGTAATAGATGGGCCATAATTTATTTAACCACTTCCCTCCTGATTGACTTGTGCATTTTCTAGTCTTTCTGTGTTATTATATGTAGTTTTGCAAAGAATAACTATTTTGAAGATCTACTTTATTCAGAACTCCCAACGCCCACCATGAAACAATCCTTTTTTCATAATGTATTTCTTTTCTTTTCTTTTTTTTTTTTGAGACAGAGTCTCACTCTGTTTCTCAGGCTAGAGTGCCGTGGCTTCAGCCTAGCTCACAGCAACCTCAAACTCCTGGGCTCAAAGCGATCCTCCTGCCTCAGCCTCCCGAGTAGCTGGGACTACAGGCATGCGCCACCATGCCCAGCTAATTTTTTCTATATATAGTTTTAGTTGTCC